GGGGGGGGTGGGGGTATAATTATATATATCACACAACTCTTACGCATTTACATATCTAACAACAATAGATCCATATCAACATGCATACCAACACCACAATCTTTTTAAGAGTAAAATACAACTTTTCATGCATAAGATAATAATATGAAATATATCAAACAATGGGTGTTAAATATGTAAATAAATAAGCATGCATGTAAATGTCCTAAAAAAATGCAGAAGCAACAGCTAGGCAGGAACTACACATCAGTACCGCAGGATGTTCAGGCTTTTCTTTTTTTGTCTCATTTGGCACAAAAATGGTGTTAGTCAACTAATATACAAAGCTGCGAAATAGTTGTACCTTAATCAATCGAAGATCCCGTATGGAAAAACTACCATCATCACTGCCAGAAGCTATCATGCAGCTAGCCAGCCTGCTCATCACAACGAAAACTAATTTCTTGAAGCAATATTAAAAAACGAGCATTGGCTTTACTACAAAAAAGTGCAATAAAAAAGTTACTAGTAACTCTAACCGATTCCATGATATGACATTCACATCAGTGTTATGAGCCTTTATAGATACTGCAGGAGATTTTCCTATCCGTGCATCCCATATTGAGATATTCCCATCCACAGAACACGACGCAAAGACATCCGCTTCTGTTGGGCTCCACTGCACCGAAAAATAAACAAAATCACATAAGCGAACTATGCCGGAGCTCCGACACTGGTTTCAAGGTCCAAAAACCTACTTGAAGATCTTCAACACTCGCTTTGTGTCCAACAAAAGGATTTGCGTCAACTATCCATGAATCGGACGAAGGCTCCCATAGATGAATGCAATGGTTGCAATCACCTATAGAGATTATGTACACATTCTTAGCAATATAAGAACCTTTTTTGCATGCAACCAACAAATAGAAAGGTGTCAAAATGGTTCCCTGGCTCCTTGTAGTGGGGTTATTCTAGTCCCATAGTCTAATTAGTCCCCATAATCAAGGCTACTTTAACCTCTATTAAAAGAGTCTGACAATTAATTTAGCATTTTATAGACTTTGAAACTAAAATGGCCTTATGGAAACAGTCAAGGGACTATTTTGGCACTTTACTCAATCAACAAAGATTATTTAATTTGATAAAAAAAATTAAGCCACGGATTGATTGCCTTTAGACCATACCAGAGACGAGCCTGCCGGTAACAACGGGACTCCAATCTATGGCAAAGCCTTCATCTTTATGCCCATCAAATTTAATTAATGGAGCGACATGATTTATACTGTTACCACCAGGGTTACTTTTAGCGTCTGACTCTGCCAAAGCATTAAGTTGAGAGGAAAAATCCCACACCTGCTTTGAAGTATTGAGGCAGGAATGAAAACAGCTTTGACATTTAAGCATATAACATTTAAAGACTTCTAATAAACAATTCAGAATGAGATAGAACACAAAATTTGCTACTTGGCGGCTACTAGGGGTGTAAACGAGTCAAGCTCAAGCTACTCTCAGCTTGAGCTTAATTAATTAATTAAGCTTGAGCTCGACTCTGGTATAAAATGTAAAATATCATTTATTTACATTTGTAATAATTTAAAGATAAAGGCCTTGAATTTTAATATATTTGAAGTATATTTTATATTAGAAAGATTTACATACTTACCACTCAATCCCATGTATTTACAAATTTAACAACTAAACTCAATTTTTACATACATGCCATCTTACTTGAGCATGAAAAGACCTTAACTTTTTAAGAGTTGAAATGAAAGATCTGTGTGGTAGAAATAATAAAAGCAAATATCAGGCGTTAGATGTGTAAATACATAGGAATTAGGTGATATGAATGTTAATGTCCCTTCATTAATATTTTTTTAAACTACAAGCTGGTTAAGAACTAATGAGTTACGTCACTTTTACGTTGAGCTTGGTTTGTTAGCTCATCGAGTCTAGCTCAAGAGCCGCTTATCGAATCGAGCTCGAGCCAGCTCGGCCGAGTTACACCCCTAGAAGCTACTCTAGCATGAAAGTGCTGCCCTAGAGGATTTCAAACTAAGGAATCTAAATGCTTCAGCAAAGTCGGAAGAGGGAATCTTACTAAAAGAATCTGACCTGGACATGTCCTCTGTCGGCCCATGCAGCACATATGCTGGGCTTTTGTGACATAGCCCGAATGCGATTTACACATCCTTGATGGGCCACCTTATGCAGCTGAGGAATAAATAAAAAAATAATGTTGTAGTGTTATACACGCCATTCATCACCAAGATAAAGAAGAAAAACAAGGGGCTAAGCTCCTGCCTGTAAAATAGGTTGTGTGGATACATCACCAACATTATCTTCTTCATCGCTGCTACTCTCACTATCCATATCCGTATCTCCATCACCTGTTGCAGATGGCACTAAATCACGTTTTTTTCCAGAAATATTTGAGATCTTGAAAACTCCAATATAGTTCCAAGATGCCTGCTCAGCCTACAAGGCAACAAAGGTTTGCAACTCGTTAAAAAAATGCAAATTCAAACATAAACATTTTGGAAAAATTTACGTAAGTAGCACACAATTCTTATGTATTTACATCTCTCACACCTAAACATTCATATTTACATAAATAAACACTTTGGTGCTTTAAACTAGTGCAAAAGTTTATTTCACTTTTTAAAAATGGTAATAGTGCTATTTTTGTTGTGATATTAAAGATTTGAGTTCTATGTGTGTAAATATGAAAGTTTAGGTGTGAGACACGTAAATTCACAAGGATCGTGTGGCTTGTAAGCCAATGCCCCAGCATTTTAATAATTGGAGAATACTTGGCAGTCAACACAAGGGGAAATCCCCTAGAAGATAAAGAATTCACTAACAATTAGCATTGGAAAATTATCATAATTAAATATTAGTTAAAATATAATTAGTTTTTAATTAGTCTAGCTAAATAAATAATTAGTAATTATTAAGAATAATTAATTAACTCGTTTATTACACTAGTAAAATGGAATTTCAAGTTACTTTAAAAATAGCACAGATAAGCACTCATAGAAAAATGAATAACCTGAGTTCCGGCAACACCGTACAATGTGTGGGGAAACTCCGAACGCACCAATCCCAAGGAATCACGGATGATATCAAAACTGTTGCAGCATCAAGGTTAAAAGGGGCAATTTCAATGGAGTGAAATTCCAAAATAGTCCCCTGATTATTTACATGGGACCATTTTAGTCCCAGAGTCTCAAATTAGTCCCCATACTTTTTAAATTGGAACTAAAATAGTCCCATGATAGTCCCACGGGGCAATTTCAGTCCATACTAAAAGTGTTTGAGGACTAAATTGGCACTATATAGACTTTGGTACCAGAAAGAAGCCCTGCAAAGAATCATAGGACTATTTTGATGCTTATTTCAATTTCAATAACTACATAAACAAAATCAATACTTGAAGAAGATATTGTTTCAACCAAATACCTCAAGCAGGGCCACCCAATGCCAAAACCACGCAGGTAATTGTATGCGGAGGGGTCAAATTGGAGCTCTTCCCCTTCTTCCAATTTATCTACTCCGGGTTCCCATACCTAGTTATTAAAAGAAAAAAACAAAGAAAATGAAAGTCATGATTGAAATCCCAAAATAGACTCAATCTTGAAAATCAATGGGAATATCCAAATCATCAAATCTACAAATACCTTCATTCTCAGGCAGCAATGGAGAAATTAAGAAAATATTGAAAACATGTCATCTTTCTTACCTTTGCAGGAGCAGATGGGCAATGGAGAAATTAAGAAAAAATTCAAAACATATCATCATCCTTACCTTCGCAGGAGCGGATGGCACTGAAGAAGAACCAGAATCTCCCTTCTTGGATTTGTTTTTGATCTTTTTAGGCCTTTTTAGACTCCGAACCATCCTTTTTGGTCAACACCTTAAGTTAACACTTCTGTGCTGGAGGTATAGTCAAAAGAAGTGCGGTATAATTACAAATTACAATATCATAATAACCAAATCCACATAATTTATAACAATTATATCCAACAAAATAAATTAGAATAAAACCGCAAAAAATATTACCACAGCTATGTAACCAAATGTTACATGTCCAAGTACTCAAAAATCACAACCAGTTCAAGTAACATTATCAGAAGAAGCTTAGAATTTATAGACAGAAAACAACTAGACTTGCACCTATCCAGTGCTCTAGAGTAAGGGATGGAACATGCAGAGAATTTTAATTGTTTAGTTAAGAGTCGAATTGCTCACCGCAAAGATGAAGATTTAGCTAATAAAACTTGCCTTCCCTCCACAATCCTCAAATAATACTTATCAATACTGTGTTCAACATAAGATATACACATTAAAATGGAAATCCCTTAATATAATCATTCCAGAGACATAAAAACTTATCTTTTGACTCAATGTGTTTGAAATAAAAATAAATAGAATAAAGAGTTTCCTATAATGATAATTTCATTTTTCTATTCTAAATTCCCTTATCCAGCACAAACAAACCCCCTATTGAAAGTATTTAAATCACAAACTATTGCACCTCCTAGGAGATCATCATTCTCATTCTTTATTTCTAGGCAACAATAGGAATTCTATTTTGGTTACAGCTTTTTTGTCACTTTTCAAGAAAATTTTGAGTTAAAAAAACATTTTACAACCATAAATACTGAAGTGTCGTAGCTGCAAAAAATTGGTAACATGTGGTTTAACTTCATTGACTAAAGTAACATAAAAGAACTCATAATATCTTACATATTGTGGGCTCCAAAAATTTGCACACCGACCTCACTTGAAATTGAATAAAAACGAGTTTTAAGTGAAGTTTCAGTCAAATTTTCAAAAGTTAGCTGAAACAGTTAGGACACTGTACAGAGATTTCATCCACATTTTAAGAGGACTTTAAGATCTAAGTTTCAAGATTTCCGAATTACAAGCTTTTATGGTTGATTACACCTCTCAATGATGAGAGAGCGCTTTTGATTAAGGCTAGTCAACAGTGAGTTGATTGCTCGGCGTACAGTAGCAACAATTTAATTTTAGATTACAACAATTATCATCATGAGCTTAAGTGCGGGTAGATGGGAGGAGTGAAGACAAACACGATCATGATCCAATGATTACATCATCTCGGATTATCATGGTCATTGATCTACATAGTTAGAGGAGCTAGACAACCCAACTAAATAGAAGAATCTTTATTAGAAGCTATGAATTATTTCATCCAATAAAACATTATAGACTTGAGGTGCATGTTTGTCTGAGAGGAAAAATTCAAGTTGACCTTAACTTAAAAAGGTTTTCTTGTTTTATCAGGTATATCCTATGATTCACAACTCAAAGAGATACAACATCATTAAGAAACATATGAGCTACAATCATGATTGTAATACAGTGGGCCTTACTAGACAAATCACCCGATCAAAAAACACTAATTATAACCACTTCTCATCTGGTCAAATCACACAGATATATGACTTGACTCACGTCCTAACTGACCTAAGGTTATTTTGAGTGCAAATGTAATATTATATTTGACATAACATTGGCCCTATATGAACTTGGATTTATATTGAATTTGTCACCCACAGTAAACAAACTCAGAAGATTGATATAATTTTGCTTTTGAGCCTTGGTAATAAATTTCATTTGAATATCTCTAAAACTTTTATAATTTGAAAAGTTAATTTTATGAATTTCCCATCCACAATAATTAAACAAGACTTTTCTTATCCAAGCATATTTGGGACAGTTTTTTTATAACATTACACGTTATCACACTTTTGTTTGGCTAATTTTCTTGTTTAAAAAAAATTTGTAGTGATTAGAAACTTTTCACAACGAGATCTGCTTGAGTGTGATGATTATAACAAAGTTGCTCCCTAAAACTTTTTAAGAAAAAATTCTATAAACCCACAATATCTTTAGAAAATCTAGCCTTTCCAACAACAACTCAGCAACTAATTTTATGGATAGTTTCAACCATCCTAAATAGACCTCCCACAAGCTAGTGGATTCTATTGCTATAAGTGAATTCAGGCAAAACCAACATAATAAACATCATAAGTAACATACTCAAATATTACAAGAGAATATAAATAAAAACCATAGGTGACAGAAACAAGATGTGTGATTAAAGACAAGTGTTGCAGCTCTAAATTTTGGTTAGATCCTATTAAGAAAAATGAATATAAAAGATATAACAAAAAATAAAAAATGAAAGAGTATGTTGACATGAGTGTTGGTGATAACATATCGTCAGTATTAATACTCAATAGCTGTGTGAAAAGGATGTCCTGCTCAAAGCAATGATGAGAACAAATTGTATGAAAATTGTATAAGTGACTCGATGTATATATTTGCCAAAAAATTGAAACATCATAAACATTTCACCATTGTTAATTATTCCTCTTGATTTTCCATTTTCTTTCCCTCATCCCACAAAAAACTCTAACCTAATCTGCAAGTCCAATGCTCTAAAGCCTCCAACGAGCTTAAATATACTGTTTATCTTATCATTTGTTGTGTCTCATTAAAGCATTTCCTCCCAAAAATAGCCAACGATGCATTTTACCGTTCAAATCATTTTTTTTTTGCAAACACCTGAAGATAAAATTAACAAAGTTAAGGTGTGACAAAACATGCACCTCTACCTAACCATACTGGAGGTCACAGTCCACAACATCCCAGCCTCTTCCACCTAATCCAATCTCTTTCATCAATACCATGAAAGAATAGATAAGTAGCACACCATTAAAACCACTATGCATAACAATCCCAAAAACTTGGATTTAAAAAATTAAGCATATTTACAAATTACATAAACTCTTTGATAATGATAAGCTTAACCCACATGTTGTTTGATGCGGATGGTCCAACATAATAATGGTATCTATGGCAGTTCAAGACTAAGTGATTAACCTCCTGGGCCAAGTCCCTTGCCGCATGTTAAATTTGCTTCGAACCCTCCAAATACTAAGAATTTATGGTGAGCTCGCTAAATTGTTGCAAACATGGACAATCTTTGAATATCAACAGCACTTGCAATAGTTATTCAAATCAATGGTCGATAATGACATGATTCCTCCAAATCTATTTTGATCAGGCTTACTACCAACAATACGAAAAGATATGCAAATTCACCAACTTGCTAAATTGACAAAGCTATTAAATTTGTTATATTATTCATTGAGGACAGGTTTCAAGACGACCAGCCATTTCCATCACAACACCAGTCCCAATAAGCCCCAATGTCAAACTAAATACCACCACTTACCCCTTTTGAACCATTAACCAAAAAAAAAAAAAACTACTCATTAAAAGCCAATCTCAAGCACAAATTATAGAGAAGTGAGAGAAAATAAAATTTTTTCTTCAATTGTGATGAGAAATTTCACAGAAACCCCATCTATAATAGAAAGATGATTTCCCACTTGAAAGATACAAACTTTGCAATACAAATAGAAGTCTCATTGGAGGCCCCCACCTGCATCGCTTTTGCCACATGACAAACAAATAGATCCACTAGAAATCAATCTACATGCCTTAGAAACACTCTCAAATCCCACTCTCAAATCCCGTTGTAAGACGTATTTGAGGGATTTAGAGAAGCTGAAGCGCGCGAAGGTGGGGAGTAAGGGGTGAAAGACGAGGATTACCTTTCTTAATGGTTTCGGGTAGGAGCAGAGAGGAAGCGGGTGAAAGATGGGAGTTTCGAAGGGCTTTGTACGCCGCGATCCCTAGTTGCCTTCCTAGCTAGCTTTGATCGCGATTATATCGCTAGTGTTTGGATCATGAAGGCTAGGGTTTTTGGTCGACCCGGGGGGAGGGAGCGGGAAGTAGGCCAGGGGGGTTCAAGAGAGAGTAAGAGTCTAATCACGTTTCTTTTTCCCACAGTGCGGGCATGTCAGTCTCTTTGTTCTTGTTGGTTGTATTATTACAGTGAAAGAAAAAGGTGTAACATAACAAAACAAATAATTACCCGTTGCATATGTAACATAACAAAGGAAAGTGTCGTCATGTGATAGGCAACTGTGTTTAGCTGCCGCATATGTAAGTATTTAAGAGTTTAAAAAATGTTAGTAAAACACATTTGGTTTTGAACCCAGCCATTTTATTGTTAACAAATTTGACCTATCCCAAATCATATGAAGCATGAACCCAGCCTTTTTATTATCAGAGTTGAAACATTATACCCAAAGCTAACTTGTAAAATATCAAGCAATTCAAAGATAAAACTAAATATATCTATACCACCAACAAGCCACCTCACCCCATCATCTGAAAGAGTTAAAACTAGATATCTAATGTTCCAATAAACAAAAAAAAAAGTTACAAATAAGAAACAAAAAAAGAAAAAAGAATGGAAGGAAAAAAGCTACAAATAACAAAATATAATTAACAAATAATCACATAAAACTATGGATAGGAGTTTCAAACAACTGATACAGGGTCTTTCAAATGCTACCAATGATCCACTGATTGAAGAAACTGCACAAAAACTCCACAACAAAATTAAAAATAGGTAGAGTAGTATGCACGGTTAATTTATACAATGGAAGAAGAAAGAATAAGATGGTGTGATGAAAATAAATTATGCTTTAAGCTATCAAAATTCCTTTCAAAATCAACTGTAAAGATGATCTTTTCTTGCCTCCACCTGAGCACGGATAAAAATTTTCATGGAATGGAATACTACAGTCTGATACTCCTATAAATAAAAAGCGAACAAGAAGTATCAAACAGCTTAGAAATCAAATCTGAGTCTACTGAAAAGAATTTCAGCAAAACTTTTGAAGGAATAAAATAAAGGAGAGAACATATATACCCTGCTATAGAAGCCTTGGCACAATAAATACCACTGAACCCATTCATGAAATTAAAGCTAATAGTATCAAACATGATTTTAAAAGAACAAAAAATTCAGGAACTAGCTAGAGTTTTAGATGCATCAAGAGAATTAAAAAAGGAGCACTTTTTCCTCCTTTGACTTCTTCTGATGTTAAAGAAGAATCCAGACTAACCAGAATAGAGAAGTTATCCACCCTGTTCAAGAAAATTAATCTTTTAATAAGGCTAGTAAATCTCACAAAAAACTTCTATTATAAATTGGAAAAAGACAAAACAGTATCACCTACCTTAATACTCTGGATGAAATTAAATTTTCTAAGACGGTTAGCAATTTTGCTTGAGAAGAGCTTTGTCCACTTTCAAGCACCATTTAAATTTAGATTTCCTTCTCTTTAACTGTTTAATAAAATCAGTTTTCACCATCATTGTATTCCTCCAACTCTTGAAGAGTACAAATAACCAATTGGCATTCTCTTCAATGGAATTAAATTTAGAGTTCATATTAGCCTATTCTCGTTTCAAAATAATATAGAAATGCTTTTTGCAATCTTTGAGTGTCCATCGAAATAGGGCAGCTTGGTAACAATTTTATGCAGGATTTAAGCAGAGGTTTTAACTTGAATCCTTCCAAACGGGATCTTACACTATCTATTTCCTTTGCAAAGATTGCAACATCAGACAAGGCTTAACACCACAACAAGTTAAAGAGACGGTGGAAAAAAGAGCGCCCGGTGCTTCAAGCGACGGCGGAGGAGAATGGGAGTGAAGCGGACTTACCTTGATCTGAAAGAAGGGGGCGCTCGGTGCTTCAAGCGACGGTGGAAGAACGAGCGCAGGGAGCAGGGGGCTTCGCGAGGGGGCTTGATGCTTCGAAGGAGATCGTCGATTCGCGACGCATTCGGGAGCAGGGGGGCTGCGCGAGTCGAGTTCGCCAAGGCAGAAATCTCCTTCAGCTTCGCAAGGTAGGGCAGCGACAGTTTTGCGAATCCCGGGGCGAATATCTAGTGGAAGTTTATTTTGCGACTTTAATTTTTTTATTTAAGTTGTTTTTATTAATTTAACTATTTAATTATAATATTTATTTAATATATTATAAATTTAATTAAATATATAGATAAACCTCTATGTTATTATTTAATAATTAATCAATAAAAAATATCGTTTTTTGTCGAATTTAATTTATAAAACAAGTTATTATTAGTTAATAAATAACTATTCGATTATTAATTAAATAGTATTAAATTATTATTTTAAAAATAATTGGTTTAATAAATTTTTTTATTGATGTCTACTTGATCAGCATAATTATAAATAATAAAATTAATAATTTATAATATTTAATGAAATTTTACATTTATCATATCAAATAATTTTTTATGATTTAAACATTTCAAAGTTTGCTAAATTCATATTTGTACATAAAAATGTGTTCATATAGGTCTTCAGAATATCAAATGGCTAGTAATAAGAGTTAAATGGAAGAGATCGCATGTAAAGGATCAACCGGACCCACTTAGAACCAACAAAGGTCACGAGTTGACTGGATTGGTAGATCGAGTCAAGTCTCAAGTCGATTAAAACAAGGACTCGGAAACAAGTATATCCAAGTAAAATGGCTGAAGGTGGAGCCAATCATTTCAAGATACTATGAGAGAATAGTATCAAGCCAAGTCGACTGAGCCAAATCAATCGAACATATAAAAAAATAGAAAATTTGTAATTTATTATGAAATACCATAATGTCCATCTTGATAGCAGAAAAAAAGGTAATTCTAGTCAAGTGCTAAACTCACTATCTAAAAAAAGTTCTCGCTTCTCTCCTATTTTTTACGGTTCATATGAACATTTTATATTTCATTCTCTCTCTCTCTCTCTCGACTTATTATGAATTTAATCAATGCATTTGATATATTTAACGTTAATTCAACAATCTCTAGCGAAATTTATCCTCTTTTATTCTTCACTTACCTCATAAATACTTTCACCAATGAGCTCCTATCACAACATCCTCACTTGGAGAAAGGAGATGGTTTAACTTATTATTATTGTGTGATTGATTTATTGTCAAATACTTAGTAGTTTGCAATTAGAAAATTTAGAAGTTAATCTTAATAATTAATATTAATCAACTAAAAATCATCACATTATCCGAGTCTATTTACATATCCAGCCAGTTAGATTTTAAACTTTTTACCTGCCTCATCGTACTTATATATTAAACGACTCGTTTCACTTTTTTAAAGTTAAAATAATAATATTTTTATACAATATAAATGCAAAAAAAAATATTTTTTGTTAAATATATAAAAATCAAGTGTTTTGTATGCAAACACCCTTTTTCTTTGAGTAACATATGATGCAAATAATCATAAAGATCACATCTACAATAATACATTGTTGATGAAGAAACATTAATGTTCGAACATGATATTCTAGGAATATGTTTACTGCAACTACAACGATAATAATAATAGTCGATGGATGAGATGATGATCTGATGGTTCGATATTTCCTTTTGTACCAAAAGATTTCATACTCGAAGCTCATAAAAAAATAATGATGATAATAATTATATGTTTGACCTAATATTTTATGCGGTCCTTCGTGGCAGAGCTAAGAATGGTTTGAAGGTCAATATAAGCCCCAATAAACAGCCTACATTCAAGATAAGGAAAACCAATTGAGTACCTGCATCAATGGCATCAAATGCAAATATTAAAGACATAACTGATAATAGATAAATAAATAAACAGTAGAGATTAAATTTAAACATAATCCAAAAAAACCAAGTAATAAAAGAAAATGAAACTTTTCAACACACACACAAACAAGGCATGTGGAATAATCAGATATAATGCTTAACCCGTTTATTTTTTTGAGTCCGGATTGGGTTGACCTGCCAATTCAAAAGTGACTTGAAATTGGCTCATCAACCCTAAATTGACCATCAACCGAAATTTTACCCAAGATTGACTTAAAATTGATCTGATTTTAACCCAATTAACTATTATTCATCACGTTGTTCATCTTATTTGAGTTGGCTTTTGGTCGAATCAATTTCGGGTCATGTTACACGTCTGATGAGTTGTGTTCATGTAATACATTTGACACATTCGAGTCAAGTTGTTTTGGTTCGAATAGATTTCGGGTATGAAAGTATATGAAATTTAGGTTAGTAGGATTTAATAATTCCGTGAACTTAAATTCCAAAATAAGTGTTTCACAACTAATTTAATAAATCTAGTTAAATTCTTTGAAACATCCTGATGATTTTTGTCAGGACATAAAAAGTTGTTCCATTTGTAATAAGAAAATAATCATAAATTTTATTATTATGATAAAAATGGATTATTAAAATTCATTAAGTTTAATTAAATTTTTATTTCAAATTATGATAAATAAGAATTATACATTTAATAGACTGATTAATTATCAATAAAAAAATAAAATAATTACTTATTAAATAAAAAATTTAACGTTTATGAAATAAAAATTAATTAGTCATTGATTATATTAATTAATAATTTATTATAAATTTATTGAATGAATAAAAAATTAATACTTATTCTCAATTAATTAATAATGAAATAATAAGTATAAATTTATTTAACCAGAATTAATTTGATAATAGCTTAATTCATAATTAATTAATAAAATTAACTTAAATAAAATTAAATTAATACCACAAACATCTCTTTTTCTTTACCGAACCCGCGCTCCACCCGCAATTGGAGCAAGGAGGGTATCGCGGATTGCAGAGACAGAAAGATCCAGAAGTTGAAGGACATTCAAGAAATAGAAAGGGTTTTCGCTTGCTGGGACGGAGACTACAGATTACCTGAGATCTCTCAGCTCTCAGGAGGTAGTAGGTTTCACCCTCTCTCTGCAGCTGAAGAAGAAGATGTTCGCAGAATTGCTGCCTCCCGACCCCTACCTATCGAATACGAGTGTGATCGTGGGACGAGGAAGAAGTATTCGTTTGTAAAATTCCGTACTGTGATGGAAGGAATGGATGCTAGGAATATTGCACTGTTGCTGAGATTTTGAGAAGATGGGGTGTGTTGTGTCCCATGATTTCAAATTGCAGATCACGAGAAGAGAAAGGCCCGATAACCGACACATTGAGCATGGATGCGAAAGAGTCAGGAGAGATGATATCCACTGGGTCCAAGGGTTGAGTTTGAAAGGCGTATCGCAGTGAAACTGTGGCATCAAAGCGACCTTCGCAGGAGCTTCTAAGGTCACAAAAAAAATATGAATCCCGACGCGCGCTTCGCAGCCCAACGTCACCAAAACTAGCCAGCACACAACACTTAAGTACTGACATAAATAAACCTGATGATGGTAAGGGATCATCTGGTTCAGTGACGACACTGCGACCTGGGTGGGGATCACACTCTCTCAACACTTGATGATGCTGCAGTGAAGACGTCACTTCATCCAGTATCATCATCTAAGAGGCGAGAGTGGAGACCCGAGGCAGTGGTCCCATCACCCGAAAGGAGTAAGCCCAACAAAGACATCTTAGAAATGATTCCTGAGAAATAGCAGATCACTGGTGTTAATGCTGATAGCACGGGGCATATATGCCTGTCAATGCCCAAAGAGTGCGAGGACGGCCTATGTAAGAGATTTTAGACTAACTCAGGGAAGTATAAGGGAAATCTAAGAAGAACGGTCTGCTAAAAAGAAAATTGAAGCAATCAGAGAAAAAATTCCGGGGGAAGCTCAGGAGGACAATATGACGATACTATGGACGAGGAACAGGAGCCCGCAGATGAGCCCATGGACGCCACACTCGTCCAAGAGCCAAATGGATGAGATAACAAATGGACGAAAGGTAGTCTGACCTGCAGAGGGGGAGCACACTACCGATACACGAAGATAAAACCATCAACCATCAACCAGAGATGGAAAGAGAAGAACTCCCCAGCGACGTTGCCAGAAAGTAAAAACCATTAGTTACACCATTCATCTAGTTCATAATTTACTCATCTCTTCGTTTTCGAATCTATCAAGTCATATTATAATCTAAACATTGTCTTTCGGTATAATTTTTTGAGAAAAAACAGAGCAATAGCAAGCAATACTGCATGCATTATTTTGTTATTTGCTTTCTTATATAATTCGCTTGAAGAACCAATGGGTTGTACCTAAAACTGGCATACCGTTGTCTTCGAAAAATACATGCGGTAACAGATATCCTAAATAAAAAAAATATATGCCACTCAATTCCTATGTATTTACATATGTCACCGCACTTATGCACTAAAATGTGTATTTCACTTTTTGATAGTTAAAATGATGATGTTTTTTATGTGATATGAAAGATTTGGGTGGTATAAATGTAAAAGGTAAACTTTAGATGTTAGATATGCAAACACAAGAGAGTTGCGTGGTATGTATTAAATGCCCCTAGAGAAAAAGGCATGCTTAAAGATAAAAGTTTACCTGGGAGAAAGGAAGCCTTACGCTTCTGTGCCCATGACAATCTGCCCAACAAAAAATAATAGTTAAAATAGTATTTAAGAGCCATGCGTAATGCTCATGTATTGGATAAATTCAAACCAGTTCTTGAGGCATAAGAAGCATGTTATGTTGGTCCTTATTCTTAAAAACCCTTCATTTATAAACATCATTACATGTTGAGATTAGAAAGACGCATAAATGATGGGACAGCAACCTAACTGAGAAATGACACCCTATGCTATGTTTCTTATTTAGAAATAAAGCATTTATTAGTCCTGGAGTCTTCTGAGATGAAAGTATGTGTTAGATGGCTTTCCTTTTTTTGTCTTGGTGGATCAACTGTGTAGTAATGTTTTTGATTAAGTGGACTTCAAATTTGTGTTGGTGGATATAAACTGTTATATAGCTTGTATATGTGATTCTGGATGAATTTATAATTAGATTAAGTCACCCGGTTTTGCTGTTAGGCAGTTTATGGCAAAAACTAGAATTAGATTTTCTGTGATAAAATACTTACAGAGTTCCTCCTACTGCAGGAGCAACTGCTTTGAAGATGGACATCCCTGTCACTGAGATGCCATTTGCCAAAGCTCTTTGATTCTGGGGCTGTAGAAGACACAAAAGCTTCAGAAATTATCATCTCACAGCATTTTCTCTTGAATTTTGTCAGGCAAGTAATAATAACCAAAGGCTTTCAAAATAGAAGATTACCACTGCATTATTTTGCAAAATGTTAAGGCCAGTGATGATAGTTATCTGATCACATTTAAACAGCAAAATAAGCATCGTTAAAACAAAATTTCTGAGAAGAAATTCTAAACCAGTCTTCATTGACAAGTAAAATTTAGGCAGTAAGAATGTGCATGTTGAAGTCTACTTGAAATGAAAATTTCTAGATCTCTGTATGCTGCATTACTAGTTTAAGCCTAAAAAAAAAGTATGTTGTGAGTTTGGAACATAAAAAATTAGCAATGATGGCCAGATTACCAGTTTTCAATTTAGCCACCAGGATTCCCTAGCTATAAGAAACATGTTATGTTAGTCACTTTTAAGTGAGCTACCACTAGATGGAAATCAGGACTTGTATATCACATTATATATTGTTTATTTCTATGTATAAGCTTGCTAGGCGACAAAAAAGTTGATTGTTTGTTTTCCATTTTGTGTGAAGTTTTTTGTTGTTCAATCATTTATTTTTATAATATGTTCATTGCAAAGCCATGAAATAAACGAATAATTAAATACTTTTGTATTAAAAGTGAGTTTAGTCGGTGTGATATTAATAATAATCAATTAATATTTTTAGAAGATGAAGTGATGACTATGGGTGGTTAGATTTAAGCTTCTTAGATTTCTTATACATAAGAATAAGATATAAATGAAGTTATAACTTCTAGAATTAAAATTGAGGAAAGAAAATAAAAGTGCTTTAGAAGTAGATTACAATAAGTGGATATTAAGAACACTTAGAAGGTAAACTTTTTAAAATTTTCCATTAAGCCAGTGATATTATATGGGTTTGAATTTATGATATAAAAAATCATCGATAATTAAGTTGAGCATGATACAATGAGACTGTGAAAAAAGGTGGGTAGAAAATCATAGAAGTTGAGTTAAGAAATACAACAACAACAACAAACCTTTATTTATCCCATTAAGTGGGAGGTCGGCTACATGATTCATTTTTCTCCATTTTGTCCTATTGAGAGTCAAATTTTCATTTAATTCTAATAAATTAAGATTATTTTTTATACAATATATTGGAGTCTTTTTAGGTTTGCCTCTATCTTTCTTAATATAAGTCAAATCTAAAACATCTACTTCTAACCGAATTATCAAATGGTCAACATTTAATTTGACCAAACATCTAAGATGACTCGCTACTCTTATCTGCCACTGGAGCTACACCAATACTTTTACAGATACATTCGTTTTGCATTTTGTCTCTAAGTGGCGAGCCATTCATCCACTTAAGCATTCTCATCTTAACAACACTTAACTTAGTCTTATTATATTAAGTAAATAGCTGAACCATCATCTATTTAAAAAAAAAAAGAAGGAAATTTAAATAAGCTTTAGGCGATTTGGACATGTATAATGATAGAAAAATGAGTCTATTAGATGAGTAGTTAAAATTATTATTAGAGGGGTAGGAAGGAGAGGCATACAGAAAGCTAAATGGATAAAAGTTGTTCAAGATAATTTATAAATAATAAGCTTAACATCGCAGGAAATGCTAAGCAAAATCCAATGAAAGAGCAGGGATTCATAAAGCGAGCTCCAAATAGCTGGGATAAGACTAATGATGATGTTGTATAGGTAACATTTGTGAGTTAGACAAGCTTGGCTGGAGTTTCGTCCCCTCAAATGCTGGAAGACGCATTTATATTCTAGGATCCAATCCTTCAACGGAATATAATGTATAAATCACTGCATTTATTTAATATCTCACTTTGGTGATCAGTAAGCCAAAAATCAAGGCTAAGTTTTTTTTTAATTAAACTCAACTACCTTCTAGAGGCTCCATTGTGATTTTCGGTGCAATAGCATACTATTGAATTTCTAGCATTTGGTAATATTTGGTAATAAGCCTTAAAATTTTTAGTTGAGTGCTTTGCCTTTCTTCAAATAAAGAAGTTCAAATGTCCAGGCCTATATGATAAAAAAACAAGATTTTTCTAGAGGCTTTATTTAGAAATAGTTTAATTCCTTGAAATTTCTTAAATAAATAACATGACTTAAGAGTATGGAGCCGAAGGAGATTATAAGCTCTATGTTTCATATGTTATTTCCTTTCAGTATTTTCATCATACTATTTTCAATTTTATCCCAATTATTTCGAATAAAATTTGATCTTTGAAAAAGCCACCTAATAATGAAATTAAATATACACAAATTAAAAGGATGAAATTAATTTTTCAACTCAACAATCAATACTTCGACTATTTAAAAGTTAACTCTATAGGAGTTCAATAAAAAAAAGGGGAAGTGTTAAAATGGAACCCTGACTTTTTTAGAGGAGTTATTTTTTTCTCAGAGTTTATAAAAGTGTCAATTTAATCTTCATACTTTTTAATGGGGGTTGAAATAGTCCTCCTATTGAAGAAAAATATGACCTCTTGACACCTCAAGAAAACCAAGAACTGTACTGATGAACACCTGAAGAAAACCAAGAACTAGATTGTCGAATAGTAAGAAATAGTAAATGTCCAACACCTCATTGATAGCCGAAGGAGAGTGAAACCACAACAAAGAAGAAAACAGGGAAAAAAAATGAAAAACTGCAGGAAAGATAATATGCAAACATGAAACAAGAACACCCACGAATTACGTGGTTCGGTGCATAAGAGCTACATCCACGAGAGGGAAATCAACCATCAAATCCACTAAGACAATAAAAAAGAATTACAAGGCTTTTACATTGAGGAATGAGCTCTCATATTGCCATGATCTTGTCGATCAACTTTTTTGATTTGAAAATTTAATTTAAATATAAAGTATATAGTTTAGATTATGAAAGTAGTGTTTTAATTTTTTAGAAAATGAGACCAAATGGATCTCATTAGTCTAATGATTTGCATAATCGTGTCTGATACCCTAAATACTACACATTCCAAGAGATAAGTGTAAACACCGGCGATAGAACTAATCCTGCAAACTAAGATATTTGTGACATCTATTTGGTATGCAAACCGTTTATATGTGACCGACAAATTCTCCTATTTAATACAAAGATTAAATAAAGTTTATTTTACCTGGGTTCCAACTTCTCTATATAGGCAAACTCCTATAGTTAATTACATTCCAAATGACGGGAGTCACTTGAGAAAACTCTTGATAATGATCAGTGGTTATAGTCTTCAAGAATTCGAGGTTTAGGGAGGTTTAGGTTTTCACGGTTCACGGTAGGACGTGAAAAAAATAAGTAGGAGTGACTCAAGTAAAAACAATTCTTTCAGGAGTCCAAAAGAAGTAAAGAGTAGGGGACGTTACAGATTCTGAGAGGAATCTTTGGTGGCTTTCCAAACTATCCTACTGTGTGGCTGTATTTTGGAGAGGATGTTATTTGAATGTTTTAATTCCGTTAATTTTATTCATTTGGGACTTACACTTGCATAATAAGTGATTATGCAAATAGCCTACATAGATAAGAGGTTTTATGTCGTTCTGGACGATAACCTCAAAATTTAAGGCGAGTTAGGATTTCTACTGCTCAGTATGACTGTGCAGGAGCATAAAAGAGAGTGAGGATTTGCATCACATTGAGCGAGCTATCTCAAAATCCTATGTGTTGTTTAGACTAGAAAAGTTTAGCTGATGCAAATTTATTTTGCTGTTGTAGGATGACGACCACCTCCACTTGTAATCTGCTCCAAGCTCCTTGCTGTGCCCATGAAGTTGGTCCAAACTCCTCGTCGAAGAGGGTTTAAGTTTTCAAATGTGTCAAATCAAATGTTTCTTAAGGTTATGATTATTTAAATGTTATGGGAGATGTTAAAGTTGATTAGAGAGACACCGGTTAGGATCTCACGGTTCCCTCGTTCCGGTATCACTATTTTCTTTTAAATTTACTTAGCTTAAACGAATTATGAAATCCATTTAAACTGGGGAGATCTCGTTAGCAACCGTGGGTTACCTCCTCCGAGGGACTTCCGTAAATTCGAAAAAACGTGTTATGTTTTATTTATTTATTTTTTTGTTTTGAAAATGTTGTTTAATTTTGAAAAATCATTTTATTTTGAAAGTGAAATTGTATTCAGTACTTGCATAATGTGTTAGAGCAATAATAAATTGCAATGAAGAAACAAAAACAAATAAAATATACCTGCGTACGTGGCGTATCTGCTGTTGCTATCCCTGTTGCATGTTTAACCCACAAAACACAATATAATTTGCAGGAAATTTAAATAAATTATAGAGAAAAGAAGAAAATAGTAAGCAGTAGAACAAGTCGTAACAACAGCTAGGAATTCCAAATAGGTGATCCTAAAGTTTCCTACAACTCCTGATTGCAACTAGCGAGCTAGTACGGTGATCTTACGACCTTCTACGGCTCTGAGCAACAACTAGCAATTGTACGACGATTCCTATGACTCCGGACAACAGCTAGGAACTTCAAACAACACCTATATTGCTTTTTATGAACCCAAACAGCAATGGACAACACCTATGCGGCTTCCTACGATCCCAAACAGTGGTGGTCAACACCTAGATGGCTTCTTACAAACCCAAACAGCGGTGGACAACACCTAGATGGCTTCCTACGAACCCAAACAGTGGTGGACAACACCTAGACGAACCCAAATAGCGGTGGACAACACCTAGATGGCTATTTACGAACCCAAACAGTAGTGGACAATACCTAGATGGCTTCCTACGAACACAAATGACGGTGGGCAGCACCTAGATGGCTTCCTATAAACCCAAACAGTGGTGGGCAGCACCTAGATGACTTCCTACGAACCCAAATAATGGTGGACAACACCTAGATGGCTTCCTACGAACCCAAATAGCGGTGGGTAGCACCTAGATGGCTTCCTACGAACCCAAATAGCGGTGGGAAGCACCTAAATGGCACTTCCTACGAACCCATCCTACGAACCCAAACATTGGTGGACAACACCTAAATGACTTCCTACGAACCCAAATAGCGGCTTTGGAGCCTTGGACAGCAGCCTACAGCGTCCCTATACTCCAAACAACGACCTTGGAGCCGTGGGACGGGACAGCAGCATACAACGTCCCTATACTCCAAACAACGACTTTGGAGCCCTGGACAACAATTTACAACGTCCCTATACTCCAAACAGTGGTTTTGGAGCCTTGGACAACAACCCACAGCGTTCCCATACTCCAAACAACGACTTTGAACACAACGTCCGCATACTTCAAATCGCGACTTTGGAGCTCTGGACAACAATTTTAAATAGCCCAAACAACAGAGGAAACGTCGTCGAAACAATCACAAAAGGCAATTTAAAAGTCCCGAAATCCCTCTTTAAAACAGTGATAAAACCTCCCCGGAACGGTACCGTTTATTCCTCAGGTATACTCTTGTCGACGTGGCACATATATGAAAATCCATTCGTCAGGAAACTCTTTCCGCATATTTGTCCAGAATTAAAGTTAACGGCCAAAAAAAAAAAATGCAAAGAAAGAAAACACTATTTCGCCTAAGCCGATTGCTTCCAGTATTAATTGGTGCTCCATTCACAAAGAAAATGCTATAGAATATACACCCATTAGATACATACCCCAATATCCAAACATACTGAAAAGGCCTTCTTTATTTTGGCTAAAGATATTTGAAACACTTTGGCTGGGCAGCAAAAAGAAATTTACCCAACTCATATTTCCAGCTCAACGGATAAGCTATGAGAATAAGCCCATGCCAAATTCTCCACAATATTTGGATGGATGTGACTTATGGAAATTAATAGAGATACAACTATTAGGATGAAAAATAAATTTTAATGAACACCAAATTTTCCCACATGGACCTGATATTCAACACCTGCTGTGAAAATAAGACAACCTGCACCAAGCAATACTAGTGGACATACGGACTGAAGAGCTTCCTTCCAATTTCTCTAGCCTGTTTTGATATTAAAGAATTTGCCACCACAAACGACCCAACACCAAGACCCGTCAAACTAGTGCCATATGCCTCAGTTTTGGCCCAGCGTCTAAAAAAAAAATTTGAAGTTGACTGCCAGAATGCATATGCATATTATTACTACCATGAAACACTGTACCATAAAATACTCATCCTAGAAGACGATAAATTCTGTTGTCCAATTTCATTTTTGAGGGTAAGACGGCTTGGCCTAAAGGTGATCTAAAGCTGATCTTTTAACTGAGGTGCAGAAAAGCAGCATAATTATCATGATAATAGCCAAAATATAAATCCATTCAGCAAGGATATTGAAATTTTATTGACAACGCAAACCCAAGTGAGTAGAGGCGAGGGTGTCAAGCGGTAAGCAGGCGAACCACTGTTGCGTCATGTGCGAGAGGGAAGCATATCAGGGCTTCAGAGGGGGAATAGGCGAGAGACTAGGGCTTTGACGTGAGGCAGGGGAGTTCGGTCGAGCACAAGTCTACGTCGCAGAGAGGAGAAGCGAGCAGGAACTTCGATCGGGAGCTGTGATCGAGTTGCGGAGGAGTGGGATCGAAAGGAGCAGGCGTCGAGCGGGGATCTTCGACGCAGCAAGGAGTCAAGTGAGGGTTTCTGTCGAGCAGGGGAGACGAGCAGGAACTTCGTTCGGGAGAGCTGAGCGGAAGCGAGCGGGCAGGGGGTCTTCTGTCGAGTGAGAGCAGGGAGGCGAGGGTTTCTGTCGAGCGAGATCGAGCAGAGGAAACGAGCGGGATTGCGCTGTGAGCAAGTGAGGCGAGTGGGAGAGCCAAATGAAATTTGCGGAAGACGAAGTCCGAGCGGGATCTTTATCCATCGAATTCCAAATAGCCGTTAAGCATGAGTTGGGCAGGGAATTAAATGATTTCCATATGCAGGGATGTTTAATTGGAAAACATTGACACCTGGATATTTTTAATTAAGACAAATTTAAATAATATGTTTGAATTTTGAAATTTGAATTTCAAATTCAGGTGAGCTGGTGCCTAGCCCGTGTTCAGCTCGAGTCCAGCCTGAATCGAACCCGAGTTGAACCTAGGTTGAGCCTGGGCCCGCGCACCGCTCATAAAAAAATATGCATTGATATCCGTGCTAGTCGCTCGCACGCAAAACCATGACAATGAGGGTGTCCTTCCTAGCTAAAGTCAACGTCCCAGACGCATTCGTGTGGTGCGTTTTGTCATCCGGGGTTGTCCGGACGAGTTCGTCGATGGACGAGTCGATTTAATTCAAAATCGTGCGTGGTGCGTGTGGCGTTATCGAGCATTCGAGTCGCAAAAGGGTTTTTTAGGGGCTGCTCCTATTAATCTAGGAACTCGACTCGAGTCTCATGTGTCGGTTCTCATCAACTCAACGAAATGCCGAGGATTCGGGACCGCCTATATGAGACTCGAAAAAGTGACGAGGTGGCTCAAATTTTCTAAAGGGTGTGAGTTCCATACTAGTCCTCTAGGAGGGTCAAACAAGGGAAGCCTAAAACTAGACCCTAGGCTCTAAGGAGAGAAGTAAAGACCTCACCCAAAAATGAGATCAACAGATCTCTCTCTCTCGAATCCCCTTGATACAAGATCTCCAAGATCAATGTGCTCTCATCTTGTCTTGTTTTCTCTCTCGAATCACCTCGACACAAGATCTCCAAGATCCTCCCCCTCAATTCTTGAAGCCTCTCCTCTTTTTTCTCTAACCAATTGATTTGCTCTCTCTTGGTCCACCCTTCTCTACAAGCCTCCCTCATTTATTTATAACAAAATGAGACCTCCCAAGTAGACCCAGTTTAACAATTAGAAGCTTCTATGAATCTTTAACAATTTCTATGAAATTACAAGTTTGTCATTGCCTTAGTTAACCAATTGTGAGTCATTGTAACAATTCTCCACCTTTACTCTCAATTACAAAATTTTGAATAGAGATTCTCTCCACCTAGCCTCGAGGGGCCCTTAGCCCTTGCTCGTCTTTCCTTGTCTCGATCTTGATATGTTCTGATCGTTTCTTGAATCTTTCTTGTTCGATCTTCCTCTCACTATAAGAACATCTCCACTGATTTCCTCGTTCATGTCATGTTTCATTTGAAGTTCTTGGCTTTAATCAGCGACCGAACCTCTTCCAAGGAGATTGTTTGCACCCTTCCATAGAGCATCACATATTTAAAATGCTCGTAGTTCTTAGGAATGAAGTTTAACAACAGCAGTGCCTTGTCCTTGTCATCCATCTTGACATCGATATTTTCAAGATTATCAATAATCTTGTTGAACTCATTAATTTGCTTTGAGATGGATTTATCTTGATGCATCTTGAAAGAGTACAGGAGTTGCTTCAAGAAGAGCCTATTAGCCAAAGATTTCGTCACATAGAGTAGTTTGAGTTTGACCCAAAGTGCTTGAACCGTTGTTTCCCTCGACACTTCTCTCAGAGCTTTGTCACCCAAGCTTAAGATTATCAAGCTGTGAGCCCTGTTTAGGATGTCGTTTTTCTCTTTCTCGGATATCTCGGCCAGCAATGCCGTCGGCCCTTGCAAAGCTTCTGCAACACTTTGTTGCACCAATAAAGCTCTCATCTTGACTCTCCACAGGGCAAAATCATTCTTTCTGGTGAATTTCTCGAGATCTAATTTGGCGGTTCTCATTATCGTGGCTAGGTTTCTCACAGACGGCCCCAATTGTTGAAGAAAAATATGACCGCTTGACACCTCAAGAAAACCAAGAACTGCAGTGCCGAACACCTGAAGAAAATCAAAAACCGGATTGCCGAATAGGAAGAAACAATAAATGTCGAACACCTCCTTGACAACCGAAGGAGAGTGAAACCGCAGCAGACAAGAAAACAGGAAAAATAAACGAAAACTGCAACAAAGATAATATGGAAACAAGAAACAAGAATACCCAAGAATTACGTGGTTCGGTCCATAGGACCTACATTCATGAGAGGGAAATCAACCATCAAATCCACTAAGACAATAAAAAAGTATTACAAGGCTTTTACGTTGAGAAATGAGCTCTTATCTTGCCTTGATAAGAGTTCTCCAAGATTTTCTCCTCACTCTTTACAAGCTATACTCTTCTTTCTCTAACAACCTGATTTTTTTTTCTTCCGCCTTCCCTGTAAGTGTTTCTCATTATTTATAACTAACGAGCCTTGCAGAAGTGGACTCGATTCATCTATGGAAGCTTTCATAATTCTTTAACAACTTTCGTAGAATTACAAGTATTCCCCTCGCCTTAGTCTAGTAATTGTGAGTCATTGTAACACCTCCCTATGGATTATTTTAACCGTGGACTATTTATGCTTATATTAAAAAAGTTTGGAGATTAAATTGGCATTTTTATAGATTATTTCAGCTCATATTAAAATAATCTCAGGTAAATAATAAGGGGACTATTTTGAGACTTTACTCCATAAAAAATATCCAAAGCACATAAATCTACCATGTCCATTATGACTAAGAAATATCTCATGAAGTTAACAAAAGACTGTATCTAGTAGAAAGTAACATAAATTCATGACTGGCCAACAACAATTAACAAATATATTTAGCCACATACATAGAAAAAGGAAAATTTTAGGCTGAAGTTGAACTCACTGACAGAACGTTCTTCACGAAGGATGCACAAGTAATAAGTAACTTGAGAACAAATCCTGATAAATTAGACATGAACGGATAGCAAGCAAGTACAGGTAAGCTTATAATCTGCATGTCAGATTTTAAATATAAGGATTCCACAGTTCACATTAACTCTCGTAGCAGGTATAGAAGAGAAACCCATTTTATGCTTACTGCTGCCACACGGGAAGAAGTTACAGGGCCAAGAGCTTTATTCAAATATGGGTATCCGAACAATTGAAACAGGAATAGGCCGAGACCTAGAGACAAACAAACAATCAATAAACAAAATCTGCATAACTCATTCAAATAAAAAATTACATAGTAACATCAGATAATATTCAAACATGTTAAAATCTTTTCGGTTATTACCTTGAAATTGATTATGGGATCGATCATGATATTCAGCAATTAATACATATTTTTGCTTAGGTTATATTTCGAATCAAATTATATTGATTTTATTCTATTTGAAATACTTGGACAATGCACCTCCATCATCAGCTTCTATGCAATATAGAATCAAATAAATGATAATGCTCAAAGAAATCTTCTAATCATTGATCTGCCATGAAAATTTTCTTAAGACCATACTCCCAACGGAATATTGGAATGTAATTTTGAACCTCATGATAATCAACTTGTAGTGCTCTAAAATTATGACGTGTTTGAATTGCATTATTAAATATATATATTCTTTAATTGAATCTCTTATGCCAATTTGATACATAACTATTGAGGTTAATGTTTCCGAATGTAATTATTATGATATATAAAGTGCTTTCGAACAAAGAAAAATTTAGGTCTCATATATCATAAGTTACCAATTAATGCAACACTTTTCTTTAAATGAAAATAGGCAATACTGGAATTTAAGATCAAGTGATATTCGTTGCTTAACTTCTGTCTCTGTCATTTTCTTTTTCTAAATAGAAAAGAATTTAACTCCCTACTTCCTGACTGAAATTACACGCAACATTCCCCATTCCGTTCTTCCTCTTCTCCTCATGACACCCCACCAGCCATCACCTCGATGGCATCGTTGCAATGACCTAGATGGTCGACGATAGTCATCTCACAATCACTTTCTTTCTCTCTCTAAACACACACACACACACATGCACGTACGCTGCATGAACACACATATATAATTAGGGAATAAGGAAAATAAAGAGCAAAAAGTAAACCAATCAGATATAGAGAAATAAATAGACGAAAAAAAAAGAAAAAGAAAAAAAAAGTTTTTGAAATTTGTGCAACTTTGTAGCATCGTCACTGTCGTCAATCTCAGTTAAGGTAACACAAGATATTAAATACCCGTATTGTTCCAACATGAGAGAAAATTGTTAAATTAAGTATTAATGTACATTATTTTAAAGTAACAGAAAAATATGCAAAATTTAAATATTCATGTGCATTGCTCCAATGCAATGAGAAAATCTTATGCTCGCATTTCTCTCATTCAGGTGTTGAATACCTATGCATTTATTGTCAATGCATACTTTTTTAAGTATGATGAAAATGTTTAACACTCTCAATGCATTCGTTTAAGCGAGAATGGTGCTCGAAAGCTGCCAAAATTTTATTAAAATCCTCCCAAACAGAATGAAATATAAATTGGCTTATTGGACTAAAAGTAAAACTAAATGAAACTATAAATTGCGAAATTAAAGGTAAAATGAGTACTTAAATAATCATGCAAAATATTCTAAAAGACTAAAATTGGGCACAAACACGATATACATAGAACTTACAGGGGGGTTTAAAGTTATATTCACAAGGAATGAGCAGAACCTTCTTGCGCCTAAACCTCTCAGAACATGCAAAGAATTGAATTGAGAATTGAATGAAAATGAATTGAGCATCCCCCCTATTTATAAGTAGAGGAAGATGCATTTGGGACTCACTTGGATAAGATAAGTCATATCTAGACGAATCTTGCCCCCACTAACAGGAAAAAATCTGAAATGACATCTAGCCCTAAAATCTAATTTAAAATGCAAATTAACATCCAATATGCATACATGCCACTAAATCCACAATAACATACAAGCACAAAAATTGCTTGAAAATTCAAAGTTAAAATTTTGATGTTGTTTAATAATAAAATACTCACATAAAATAGTTAAATCACGTTAATTTAAAGCTTTCATGTGCTTCATGAGATGCTCTTTGACTCGAGTTTTCTACTTCGAAAGGTATATAAGCTGTAAAAAAAACATGCAAGTTTCTTAAATTGCATTCATATCTTTAGAGTTTAAATAAAATTATATGTGCTCTTACTAACGTGCTAAACACTCATTCATATGATTTGAGAATGCTGTGTGGATTGAATATAAATTCAAGCTAGAATGTAACGCACTTTGAGAAATAAATGGTGCACGTTCTTAATTAGGCCACCTCATTCCTAGGAGGATGTTATAAATTCACTAGGCCAGGGCGTGATAGTACTATCCATTAATAAATAATTAAAAATTTAATTTTTTCGTTCGACCATATATTTCTTTCTTGAAAATTCCATGCCCCTGGGCCAGATTGTGACAATACTATACATTAATTGGTAATTTTGTAAGTTTCTTGGCTGAGTAGAACAACTTAAGATCTGTTTGTGGCAGCTGTAGCTTACTAAAAAACAATCGAGAAGCTGCTGAATAATAATTTGATGTTCAAAAAGTTGCGGTGGCTACGTTTTGACAGTTTACCAAAACAGATAAGACTGCGGTATAGCACTGCCACCACACTGCGGCCTCTAACGGACCCTTTGTGTCGATGGACGAAATAGTACCAACTCTTAGGCAACTCAGCAATTTGAACTTAGAGGACCTTTGAGACTACAAGCGAGTTTAGAGTTATCAGTTTTTGGTCCCACCTAGTTCAAAGCTATTCACCATCAACCACTTCCTATACCTCATGGCTTCGCAGACCTCGGTCAAATTTGTGTTATAACTTGAACCTAACTTGCATAAATTTTATAGTTGAAACATAACAATGAATGAAAATTTGGAGAGAAAATCAAACCTCGTGTTAACATAAGTTGATTGCTTCCTCTAGAATAGCATAATCACACTTGTATTGCAACAATAGAAACTAAACATAACATACTGAAATTGAAAATAGAAATTTTATTCCAAACCAAAAGTTCAAAATTTGAATGCCTCAAAAAAATTATTTATAAACCCATCATACTCTAAACTAGAAAATAAGATGGGTACAAAAATCAATTTAGTTTAGTTACAATATCCAAAATCCAAATTTTGATTTTCAAGGGTATTATTTCAGCCGATAATCTAAGCCACAACAAAAGGCTTTTCAATTATCTATAAGTTTACATATCCCTATAATCAGTCGTCTACAAACTAACTTCCTTTGAAACCATCAAATGTCAATCCTAATAATAACAATCCATGAAAGATTTAATTGCTACTGATAAAATTACCTCTAAGCCTTCACTTGAACAAATAACTCAAGTGAAAAGCAAACCAAACTCCAAGTTTTTTTGTAAATAAAAAATTTTAATATCTGCAAACTGAAATCACTACCATTCATCAATGATTCTATATATTACCTGTAAGTGCAAGGACCTCACCCACATCCTGTGATGAAAAGCTCAAACCTCCGTACTGTACATTGCTTTCAGCCCATAGGGAGAATATCTAATAAAAATTATAATTATATTAAAAATAGAGATTAAATTTAGTTAATAAAGTTTTAAAACATGCAATTAGAGGAAGAGAAAAGCTTTAAGCAGTAATTAGAAAGACTAAAGTATAATCTTCATTTCTTTCTTATAAATGATAAAATCGGTACAGAGCATCAGAGTATTACCTCAGAATAAGCCGTATCATTAAAAGAAAAAATGCAATATATGGTGATTGCAGACATCAAGGGCCAATTCTTCAATAGGCTCTTCTTAGGAGCTGATGGCGACCTTTCAGTTTCTTCAGCATTGTTAATCAGATGGCATTTTTCGATTGCTTCCAGTTCATCAGCTGCTCCATCATTTAGCTCGTGTTCACCATGAAAATGCAAAGTTTCCTATCAAATCATTTGAAAATTCATCAATCAAATTAAGAATCAATTTTTACATTTAAAAGCATTGTTGAAAAGTTTGTATCTCTAATACAAAAGAAAATAAAGGATCTGTATTCAAGCACTCACCTGGAATGCTTTTGATACTGCTCAAAAAACTTAATTTAGATTATCTTAAGATTTATTTCATTTTTGTAGGATATCAAATATTATTAGATTCAAATAATTTTTAAATTAGAATGCATTATTCTTTTAATTAATATTAGTTTTAAATTTGAATTATATGTTAGATTCAGATTAAAATTTGCGTATGATTAGAGTTTATTTCAAATTGTCTTATCTTCATAATCCTATTTCTATAAACAAAGTTCTTGGCTTGTATTTACAATATTAGTTGCATTATTGAAAGAATTATAGTAGAAAAAATTCCACCAAACTATAATTAAAATGAAATAGAAAAAGAAAAGTGTTAACTTACTGGAAGCCAAAAACAAGCAATGAATGCCAAAACTGCAATGATTGATATGCATAGACAAGGTAAGAAGTATGGGAACCTACAAATAATTGCAGTATTAAGTTTAGCATAATAACAAGAAGCTAAACTAATTATGGATGTCATAAAATGTTCTGACCTCCCAAAGAGGGATTTCTCTGAAAATATATTTGGGTATTTCTCTGCTGGCTGAAAAAAAAAATTATGGTTAAGAAGATATGAGGAGTTCAAATATATCAATGCCAATAGGCATCAAACTACTGTTCTACTTTTCTTACGCACTTTATGCTACTAAAATTCTATATTTTTGCAAATCAAATAGTTTGGATGAGGCTGCAACGGCTTATGAAGATTATAATATGGTTATTTATTGCGGCGTCTTTGACAATTTAACTTCTTTTATTGTTATTCTTGTGTTATATATGATGGAATTTTCAAGGATTTTTTTTGCACTTGAATGGAGATCTAATGAGTTTGGTCGCAATCAGAGTTGTGCAAACAGGTTTAAATCAAATCCTTGATAATCTAAATCACTTCAGTTGGTTGAATGTAAAATAGGTGTATTGCATTTGCAATGTAGGGGTTGAAGAATTTGGAATTTAGAGTAAAATTTGTAGGAATCTTAAACTCATCTTATAGTTCATTTCCAGTGTATTCCAAACTCGCTTGTTGTTTATGGAAGATTTACATACATATCACTGAACTCATATTTATTTACATATCTAACAATGTTAACCATTTGCAAAAAGAAAAAAAAACCAAATATATACAGTTCACCTGTGCAAGAAGACCACCAATAGCTGGACCAACTATTAAACCTATACCTCGTGATGTACTGACCTGGGGAATGAGACATGTAATTATACATTATTATATTAGAAAAATATAACTCATGAATAGAGTGGGATTTGAGCTTCTTAATACCAGAGATAATCCAAGGGCTTGATGCTCTTTTCGGCAAACTTCAGAAGCATAGGCCTAGATACAAGCCAAACATAAACTCTATAAAATGAACGTTAGAATTGATGACCTAAATTCCATTAGGCTTGGATCGAAAAGTTCACGATGAGACAAATGGTTCAATCAAAGTTATACTCTTAGGGACAATTTGGTTTGCCGAAAAAATTATATAGTGTAAAAGTAATGTACTATATTTGGAGTACTTGGGAGTTGTTTGGTTTAGTGCAAAATAGAAGCAGGATTTTATATTTTTTTGGTTTAGTTTGAAGTAAACAAAAATAATATGAAATATGAGGTTGGCAATGAATGAGCTAATGGCCAGTGGGAGCAGGTGAGCAGGTGGCGGCAACCAACACTGTGCATAAAATTGTGTATTTGAAATTTGCTTTAATCTTGTGAATTCCAAATACACTGAAAATGACTTGAAGAATGAATTTCAAATGCATTTCAATTATACATCTGACGTGGATTTTTTTTTCTACTAAAAGCCGGGATTTCCAAAACCCTTGTAAAAAGAATGCAGCACACTTCTTTTGTAGCCGACCAGACAACCCTAAATTCTTATCCTTTGCAGTGTTTTTCTGTCCAGGATTTCTACACAAATGAATGTTTTACTTGCTTTGCCTCTTTTGCGGTTCATTGAATCTATTTTATAACAGTGAATAACAGAAATCAATGAAACCTGTATGTAATCAACTCTATTTCTTTCAGCACATACCTTTATCGGACCAAGCAAACCGGAAAAAAATCCAAGGAGTCCTCTCGTTGCAACTGCCATCCAAAATGTCGTGCTGAGGCCAAACAGGGTATTGAATATAATCCTATATTTTGATGATATGGCTTGCATTATTTAATTAGCCTTGAAGGTTTCACATTTATATAAGAGAATATATATCCATATAAAGGATTTCTTTCTTACGTGGAAACAATGCTAATCATGATGACTGGTTTTCTCCCATACCGATCAGCTACAACTCCCCAGAAGACAGAAGTTAGAGTTCTTCCAAACATAAATGCAGCGCCTTCATTTAGGATATATGTTAAGGATGTTGAGAGATTCGTTGAAATTCGAATAATGAAACTTTCTTGCAGATAAAAACTACAATGGCAATGAAATTTGTGAATACTTACCCACAAACCCTGCATAAAAACCAATATCTTCTGCCCTTTTTGCAATATGAAGGTCTCTAACCTGCAGAAATTACAGTAGTGTTAGATACTATGATATAGAGAAACTGAAAGAAAGGACTTGATAAGATATTGAGAATGAGATGATTAGTTTTGTATTTTGGTTAATTAATATAGTTAATTAGTTATAAATTAATGCTGTTGATTAATAATTTTGTATTATATAAATAGTCTCAAGGTATGTTTGGAGTAGCTACAATTTATTAAAAGGCTATTGCGCAGTAGCTACTGCGGAGAAGCTGAGAGTCTGTTTTTTGCAGTTTTGAAACAGCTATGCTGCAGCTGTTTCTGAAGAAATGATATTTCTGTCAATGTACTATAGTGTTGTTTATAACATAATTGTTCATACTAACACATTTCATAATTGAAAACAATTATCTAGTTTAAACGTTACAAAATAGAAACACACACCTCACAAAACCGTAACACGATAATCAAAATTAAAATAAATATTATTAAAATAATAATTAACAATATGATAACATTGTTTTTAAAATACACATTGCTTATGACATTAGATAAACCGTCCTCCAAGGAAACTCACTACGCCCGCTCATTATCAACTGCTGATTCCTCCAATGCATCTGCCCAAATAAAGAAGTTCTAACTTTCCTGTCTTCTTCTCGGATATCTGTAAAATTGTCACCCGTAATTATGCGGCTTTTGCGAAGTAAGCAGAGAGCATGGTAGCCCACATTCGCAGTACAATGCTTTGGAATTACCGAAAGACCTCGAGCTCATTTTTTCTGAAGGTTTAAAACAACAAAGTAGCAAATCTTAGATACATTATTAGCGAAAGAAAATATGATAGTTATCCAATGCAAGTTTTATTAGACTCCAAGGTCTTAGAAAACATAGCATAAAACAACGAATCTGTCACTATAAAAAGACAAGCAGACCTTATAAAAAAAAAGATTCTTGGTTGACTTCATGCTGAGCCCGCATGTGTCACATATGCATATCAACAAAAAACGCCATTCAGAAGAGCCTAAAAAAACCATAGCACTGAAAAAAGAAGGAACTTGTTTGCTTTTATTGGATTTTTAGATGTGACGAGAACCAATAACGACATGTTTGTTATTCAGAAAAATCCTTAAGGTTGAATGTCTCATCATTAACCTTCAAAAAATAAAAAATAAACATGCAATAAATATTTATATAGCCTATTATATCCACGGTTGCCTGTTCTGCCATCCAAGTGGGGGATAATACATGCAAAAGAGCGATAAATAAAATTGAGATTCAAAATATAAATTATTGGACAAAACATTGATACATCAAACGATAAAAGTTTTCACCACCCATTGCAAATAATGCAACAAAAAGAAAAAATATCAAACGAAAAATCATTTCATTCAGCAACTAACGATGGCGTCTGTAATCTGTTCTCTCAACTCTATCATTTCTCCATCACCTTCACCACCCCGGGTGCAACTCTCAGATAATTCAACTTTTGTTTGTGATAAAGAATGTCCTACACAATATTCAAATGTTTCAGTTTGGATATGTAAATGATATTCATCGACTCTGCTGAAGTCAATGTCATTGCGTGAAGGATGCTGCTGAATATAGTTGTGTAGAGTCATTGTGTCCATCATGCATTTGCTTAGAAAACAGATTTCTTTCACACTCCAAATGTTATTTCAATGGCACCTCGTAAGGAAGAGTGTCTCTTGGTAATTATTTTTTCTCGCCTCGAGCGACATTACTGACTCTTTTAAAGTCAGGATTATGATATTTGATATCCGGAAATGAAATATACTCCATTTGTAAGGGATATCCAACGTCGATCAAATAATATTTATTTGTTACAATTATAATAATTAGCAATGCACTGAAAAATATCTAAATAAGATTTAGGGTTGAGCAAACCTGGGGGTGAGTGAGGGAAGCTGTGCTTCCGAGTTCTTGTAGTAAATTTGAATAAACGAATGTCATGCACACTGCCTTCTCAACAAGCATAACAATAGTAAAAAATATGTTAAAATAACATACAACCATTACATTTTGTGTTAGTGATCAACAATGCTCAATAAATACGACATTTTCATTATTCAATACACGTGCATTCATGTGTTTTCCATTGATTCCTCCAATACATTTCTAACAAGTTAAAGAAGGTTTTGTAAATTACCATATTCAATTTGACTTTTGATTATAATGAAAAAAAATTTACCTTAAAATATGACTTACCGCGGGTCACGTGCAATATCTATGGTAGTCCTCTCAAATATTGGGTCCTCGGACTTGATATTTTCTTATGACAAACTAACAAGTGTATTCAACCCAACTAAAAAGTATTTTGATGATTATCTCCGATGAGTACTAAAATCGCTCCATCACACCTCTCATAGATTCACTGTGTGATAAAATATAGATGATTACTGATAACACATCTCTGGAAGTTATACTAGAGGAGCCATGAAGCTTATGATTTATGCATAATTCATTGAAGAGATCGATAAATACGGGCTATGTCATACGAAACATATTGTTGAAGCTTGTTTGGTGTTTTCAAGCAACTCTCTAACACATTTATCTCTAATATAGGAAGATGTCGTGTAAGGAGATCGATCTACGTATGGGTTGTAGTACTGATACATCAAGCATACCCCTGCTATAATTCTCCTTCTACGTCTTTCTCTTTGTGAATCCATGTTAGAAAAGTGTTTTATTCAGGTAACACATAAGAATCACTGAATTAGGTAGTATAACAACATCCTATAGCCAATCAACAATTAGAATTGAACTTGGAAAAGCAAATAATAAAGTGTACGATGAAAAAACGGACATCCAAAGAAGCATTAAGAGTGTTCCAAAGAAAAAGAATAAACATCCAAATTAACTTAATGGAAAACAAATACAAATAGTTCAAAGACAAATAAATAAATTCAAGCGTCAATGTTGCCGTAAAAAACGTAAACAATTGATCTTACAGTCAGGGGTCAGTCTTAAGAACTCTTTACGGGTTGGGTTCTCCAACAACTTCATGGAGAACTAATTTAATATGTCCTCATAAGTTTCTGAAGTTGCCTCTAGAATTCACATAACTTGTTGCATGGAAGTTGTTTGTGATGTCCCAGGGTCATTGGTGCATGAGACCACCAGTTGTGAAATTTGGCTTATAATGAAAACAACCCCTTTTTTTTATACGCTTTGTCCTACTAATGGATTCTACTTTATTTTGGTTTGGGCTAAGGGTCTTTGTTGGAGTCAATTGTTTATTCTATATCTAAGTTCTCAGTTATGCTTTCAAACCCTCGATCACTAAAGGTTTATACATTGTTTCCCGTTGCCATGAGATCACTATTTTTTTCGATGGAATGAATTTTTCTTTGAGATTTTTGGCTTTCTCATTTGTAGTTTAAAGTGAGAATTTGGATTTTGCAATTTGTGGATTTCTCTTTATGATTTGGAATTTGGGTTTTGTGATTTTGTGCCTTTATGTGATATGGAATGAGGTTTTATCTTTATATTTGATGTTTGATTGTGAATTTGCAAAATGGTTGAAAGGAATGTTTGATTTTTTGATAACAATGTTTCGGGTGCTTTGTATGTAGTAGTCTCAAATGAAAAATATAGGATGAGGGGTTTTTATTTATACCTTTAATGTTTGAGTGAGAATTTGAGCAATGACTTAAAGAGGGTGTTTGATTTGTTGATAGCAATGTTTCGGGTGGTCCGTATGTGACTGTATCAAATGATAAAATTGTGATGACTTTATCTTTACCTTTGATGTTTGAAAGAGAATTTGAAAAATGACTGAAATGGGGTGCTTGATTTGCTGATTGCAATGTTTTGGATGCCCTATATGGAATTGCATCAAATAAAAATATGGGGCAGTGTTTTGTCTTTACCTTTGATGATTGGCGAAGAATTTGAAAAATGGCTAGAAGAGGGCGTTTGATTTGTTGATAGCAAGGTTGTGGATGTGGAGGTGGTAGTGTAAGTTGGTTTTGGTGTGGAGGTGGTGGTGTTGTGGAGATGTTTGTATTAAAGAATGTGTTAGTGGATGTGTGGAGGTGGTGATTAGTGTGTGATTATGTTTGTGTTAGAGAATATGTTGGTGCATGTGTGGAGATGGTGATGTTGCGAATGTGGTGGTTGGTGTGTGGTTGTGTTTGTGTTAGAGGATATATTGGTGGATGTGTGGAGGTGGTGGTATTGCGAAGGTGGTGGTTGGTGTGTGTTTGTGTTTGTGTGGAGGTGGTGATGGTTGTCGACACAATTTTAGGGTGGGTCGTTCTATTGAAGCTGTCAGTCACCGGAATCAGAATCCCGTCGCCCGCTTTGGAGGGACATTTAATTTATATATATATTCAAATAAAAGAGCAATACACCTCAAGCTATGTATTTATCCTGAAAGATAAACACAAGACTTGAGGGTGAGACTCGATCAAATAAACTAAGAAATATATGACATTTGTTTGGTCTGCGAAACCATTTTAGTATAAGCCGACAAGTTCCCTTATTTAATATGAAAAATTAAATAAGGTTTATATTAAGTTGGGTTTGAAAAAACTTTTTATAAGGGCAAGTCCCTACAGTTAATTACATCATAGATAACCGAGATCATCTAAGAAAACTCTTGATAAAAATCAAGGGATATTGTCTTCAAGAATTTCAAAGAGATAACTTTTCAAAGAGATCGGACAAAGAGGTGTGAAAGTGAAATAACTCAAATTTGGAACATTTTATTTTTGAATCCAAAGAAAGAAGAACTATGGGACGTCATAGATCCTGAGGAGAACCTCAGTGACTTCCCAAACTATTCTACTGTTTGGCTTCTCTACTGTTTGGCTTCAATTTAGAGGAGAAATATTTAAATGTTTCATCCTGTCAATTTTATCAATTAGGACTTACATTCGTGTGAAACGTTCACACAAATAGTTTGAAAAATGTGAGGATTTAGGTCGTGATGAACGACAACCTCAAAATCCTAAAACGAGTTAGGGCTTCTATTGTATAGCAGAACTATATAAAGGCCTAAAGAAAAGTCGAGAA